AGGGAGCCTGCTTCCTCCTCTCTCTCTCTCTGCCTGCCTCTCTCCCTACTTGTGATCTCTCTGTCAAATAAATAAATAAAATCTTTAAAAAAAAAAAAAAAAAAAAGATTTTATTTATTTATTAGAAAGAAAGAGAGCGTGGCAGGGGAAGGAGCAGAGGGAGAAGCAGACTGCCTGCTGAGCGTGTTGCTGACGCCAGGCTCGATCCCAGGACCCTGAGATCATAAGCAAAGGCAGACGGTTACCTGACTGAGCCACCTGGGCGCCCCTTGGGGGACACTTCTAACTTGAGGTCAACCACGGGGCCAGCGCTGCATTCTGGCTCTTAAAGTTTTGTCCGCTGATTTCCCTCCAAGACCGAGCCACCCAGGTGTCCCTCCATGGGGTTTTGTTAACATCATGTTTGAATGCCCAGACTGAGCAAGACAGTGGCCAAGAGAGCCCTCCAGCCCACCTTCCTGGGCGATGAGGAGGGCTGCATCAGGGGAGGGCAGTCTTGTAGCTGCCTCTTCCGGAAAGTGCAGGGTGGGAGCTGGTGGGGGCCTTGGAGATCCTACAACATGCTCCCGTTCCAGACGAGGAAACCGCCCGGGGAGGTCATCCGGGTCACAGTTCTGTGGGGGGTGTATGCGGCACTTGGGGGTGTACATGGACCTCTGCTAGACCCAGGCACCCCGGTCTGCTGGGTCACCCACAAAGCCAAAGCAGGCAGAACCCCAGGCCAGTTAACGGCGTGAGTGCAGGGTTGGGTAGCAGCGTTCCCGTGTGTGTATCGTAGCACACGGGGAAAAGGTGATCAGAAGGCCCTGGTGACCAGGGAACGTTTCTTCCGGGGAAGCAGCAGAAGTTGCCTTTTCAAGAGAACCTGGAGACCACGGACAGAAGTAGGACTCCTCTTGAGATGTGAGCTCTGGAACCTCCCTTACGAGCTTGTGGATATCCGTGTTGTCCCAGACTGCCAACACAGGGAGCCATTGGAGAGAACCCGGTGTTCAGACCCTGCTCAAAGGAAGCTCGGGGTTCCGTTTGGGAATTGCGTTCTCTCCGTCTTTCCGTAATCCCTGGAGCAATTCGCATTGCATGTTGGAGTGGAACAGGAAAACGGTGTTTACAGAATGTTACTGGCAAGATGTTATTTAAGATTTAGTTTTAAAATTGGGGCGCCTGGGTGGCTCAGTCAGTTGAGCGTCTGACTCTTACTTTCTGCTCAGGTCATGATCTCGGGGTGGTGAGATCAAGCCCCGCGTTGGGCTCCATGATCAGCACAGAGTTTGCTTGAGATTCTCCCTCTGCCTCTCTCCCATGCTCACTTCTCACTTGCACTCTCTTGGTAAAATAAGTTAAAAAAAAAAAAAAGAATTAGATTTAAAATTTAAATAAAACTTAAGTAAAAATACATATTAAACACAAAGACTTTGGGTAAGAGGAGCTGGCTCCCCTATCTAGAGGAGAGCAGATCAGTTATGCACACAAGTACATTCCGTGGGTTAATAAATTCAGACATGCACGTGGCCACTGTAGTCTAGAATGAAGGTGTAAGCAGAGTGAAGAGCAGGCGGTGGTCAGGGGCAGGAACAATGTGACCAGTCTTGGGGGGACTGGAAAGTTTGGAGGACAGGAAGGGAATAGACTCTGGAAGAGTCTGATGGCCAAGGTGAACTGCATGCCAGGACACATCAGGCATGTGCATTTTGGGGTGATGTGATTCTGTTGGGTGGGGGAGAGAGGATACATGTGGGGTTTAGGAAGGTTGAGTGCTGGTGGAAGCATCTGGAAGTGGCAGTGGTCACTCTTGGTGCCTAGTCCTTTTCCTGTGATCCTACCATGCGTAGTTCGACCCCGTCCAGCCTTTTCTCCCACTTGTTCCCAACAGAAGCATGTTGGGGAAGCTCTTCCCCCGGAGATGGTCACCAGACTCCATGATGGCATGCGGAGGGTCGACCTGACGGGGAAGGCCAAGGGGCCCAGCGACAACGTCTCCCAGGAGCAGTTCACAGTGTCCATGTCCCACCTATTGAAGGGAAACTCCGAGGAGAAGAGTCTTGTAATCCTGAAAATGATTTCTGCCACAGAAGGTCCTGTGAAAGCAAGAGAAGTCCAGAAGGTAGGTCATGAGGCCATTAGCAGCCATGCCAAGCAGCCTTGGCTGTCCTCAGGTGGGGACTTGGGACGGTGGTACAGCTGGTGGAGGCACATGGAGCTGTCCCCCTCAGGGACTCTAGACCACATCACTGGTGAGGTCAGGACTTCCGGACAGAGGCCTTGGCGAAATAGAACTGGAACTCCTACCCGGTAACATAATCTCTTCCCACGTTGTGGCCCATTGTAGTCGGCATTGAAGAGATAAAGCGCCCTTCCCTGTGTTGCTAGGATGTAGGCTGTGGGTCATGGCGGAAATGTGACGAATGGTAAAACCGTGGTCTTGCAGTTTACAGAGGATCTGGTTGGCTCTGTGGTGCATGTGCTCAGCTACAGACAGGAGCTGAGAGGCTGGACCCAGAAGAGAGGCCCAGATCCCCCTGCCAGGGTGCAGGCGTTGGCCGCCCAGCTCTTCTCCGAGATGGACATTCAAGGCAAGTGCCATGCACACCCACCCACAGAGACCTTCACACGGAGACTGGTACCACACGGCCTCGGTCACTGTGGCCTTGCAGGGAAGTTTTGAAATGCATAAATGTGAGTCGTCCAAGTTTTTTCCAGATTATCTTACTGGTTGGCCATGAAACATGCCTTGTGATAAATTTAAAAGGACTGAAATCATACAAAGTGTGATTCTTCGACCACAGTGGAAAGGAATTACAAATCAGTAATAAGAGGCATTTGGGAAAGTCCTAAACATGCAGAAATTAATGTAATGGTTCCTAGTATTCTTCATAATGGTTATTCTGCAGGATCAGTAGTGATGTCCCACTTTGATTTCTGATATTAGTCAGAAGGCTTAGGCTTAGGCTTTTTATTTATTTATTTATTTTTAAAGCTTTTTTTCTTTCTTTCTTTTTTTATTTTTTAACTATTTATTTATCAGAGAGAAAGAAAGCGTAAGCAGGGGGAGCAGCAGGCAGAGGGAGAACCAGGCTCCTTGCTGAGAAGGAAGCCTGATATGGGGCCCGATCCCAGGACCTTGGGATCATGACTCAAGCTGAAGACAGACACTCAACCCACTGAGCCACCAGGCGTCCCAGTTTTTTATTTTCTTGATCAGTCTAGTTGAAGGTCTATCCATTTTTGGTGGATGTTTTCACAGAGCCAGCTTTTTTTTTTTTTTTAAAGATTTTATTTATTTATTTGACAGAGATCACAGGTAGGCAGAGAGGCAGGCAGAGAGAGAAGGGGAAGCAGGCTCCCCGCTGAGCAGAGAGCCCAATGCAGGATTCGATCCCAGGACCCTGAGACCATGACCTGAGCAGAAGGCAGAGGCTTAACCCATGAGCCATCCAGGCACACCTCCAATTTTTGATATAGTTGGTTTTTGCTGTCTCTTACTATAATCTTCTCTACCCTAGTCTTGCCTTTCTCTTTGGTTGCTTCACATTTAGTCTGGTCTCCTTTCTCTAGTTTTCTGAGGTTGAGGGTTAGGTTATTGACTGGAGATCTCTCTTTTTCAATATAGGCATTTACAGCTATACATTTCCCTCTAAGTACTGCTTTAGCTGTGTCCCGTAAGTTTTGGTGTGTTGTGTGTATGTGTTCAACCCTCTCAGCCTTTTCTAACTTGTGATTCCTCTTTTGGTCTGTTGGTGACTTAGATGTGTGTTATTCGACTTCTATGTGTTCGTGAATTTCCCAAATCGGCTTCTTTTGTTGATTTATAATTTCTTTCCATTGTGGTTGAAGAACATGCCTTGTATGATTTTAGTCCTTTAAAATTTACTGAGGCATGCTTCATGCACTCCTGTACGATCTGTTCCAGAGAATGTTCCATGTGCAATTGAGGATAATGTGTATCTACTATCATTGAGTGAGAAACCGTATACATTGGAATTTCCTTGGGATTTAAAAATAGCTGTGGTGAATCTCTGCGAAGTAGATTTATTTTTATAAAAGCATTATTTTATTATAAAGCTGAACTTTAAAAGGCGGTTTGAAAATGGTCCTGTTTCAAAATCAAGTGATGAATTTGGAACTTTGACAGGAGAATAACATAATATATGTAAAATATCAGGGGTCAGCCTTCCGGTATCCCCACCGTGTCCCCTCCATTCTCGGAGGGTAAGCCATAGAAAACACGACTGTGGGGTCAAGCATAATTCCTAGTTAATGACACCCATCCTTCCCAGATAAATTGGCAGTGGGGGTGTCTTGTAAGTTACCAGCCCTGCCCTGACTTGCCTGGAGAGGGTCACAGTTCTAGGGCCTTTCAAAAGAGCTGTGTTGGGTGGAAGCCTGTCGAAGAATGGTTTTTGGCCTGGCTCTCTTGGGTACACCTGCTGGGGGCTTCAGGACCGGGTGTAGGGGTGAGGCCTGGCTCCCTCCTGGGCCTCTCATGTGTGGCTCGCAATGGGAAGAAAAGATGGGCTGAGATCAGTGTAGGCACCAAGGCAAGCCACGTGTGAAAGGTTAAATATTCTAGTAGCCACATGGAAAGAGTAAAAAGGAACAAGGGGAGTTAGTTCTAAGACGTCCGAAGGATGCTTGAGCATCGGTGATGGATATAAAAAGTGACAGATCTTGAGTTGCTTTTTCACACGGGATCTTCGGAACCGGGTGTGCGTTTTATACTTAGTGCGACTCTGTTTGGACCAGCCATGCGTCAGGCGCTCAGAAGCCACGCGTGGCTCCCATGTTGGGCTGCCTGGGTGTGGGGAGTGGATGTCCGGGGACGCGGTGGCCACACGGTTTGGGTCTGTCCCTCCCCAAGGTGGCGAGAAGCTTCCGGGGCCTCAGCAGCTGGACCGTGAGTGTGACCGAGCCACGATCGAGGCCTGGGTGTTCAGGGCTCCCCTCGTGGCCACGTTTCTGAGCGTGGTCGTCCACCGAGGCTTCCTCCTCCTGCGCTCCCCCCTCGACCTGGCCGCCCTCGTCCCCGAGCGTCACGTTGACCAGGAGAGGGTGTTCGAGAGCGTCCTGGACGTCCCGTCGGTCATCTACATCAACTCCCACCTGCGCCGCGAGCAGCAGCAACGTTGGCGGCTGCTCTTCTCGTCCGAGCTGCACGGACACAGCTTCGCCCAGCTGTGCGGCCGCGTCACCCGCAGGGGCCCCTGCGTGCTGCTGCTGGAGGACCACGCCGGCCAGGTGTTTGGCGGCTTCGCCTCCTGCTCCTGGGAGGTCAAGCCTCAGTTTCAAGGTGAGACGGGGTCCCCCACGGCGCCCGCGGCGGCTCGGTGCTCCTTGAGCGTTCGGTCTCGCGGCTGCTGCCTGGGGACGCCTGCGCCGCCCGAGGGCGTGAGTGTCCGGAGCCTTTCTTCGGCTCCTCCGCGGGCGTCTCTGGACACGGTGGGGAGGACAGGAGCAGGAGATGCTGCTTTACGTGGTCTAGGGATTGTGGCAGCAGAGAAAGGGACACAGGACAGGTATCCCCACCCTGGGTCTCAGGTGAGGAGGCGACACCATTATTAAACCACATGGGTCAAGGCCCCGGGGGAGGCAGGGCTGGGGTCACTTCTGCTCGTCCTGTCTGGTGGATGGCTCTTGTCCCGGACCCTCCCCTATCCCTGGACGGCCCGTTCCCCGCCGGTGCGTCTGTTCCACGGGGTCTGCCTTTCTCCTCCGCCCTGGTTTTCCAGTCTTGGGATTTTTGTTGGCAATTCGAGCTCCCCTTGCGTGGCTTTCAGTGCACTGGGGGAAAGTCTCTGGAGTAAATACTTCCCCTTCCTTAAAAAAATGTGCCCCGATCAACATTTTTCAAGGATCATTTATCTCCTGGGTCATGGGCTGTTCTCACACTTAAAGGTACACCTGCCTTCCCAGGTCTGACACTGCTGCGTGTGCCTTGACTTGTGGCCCTGGTGCCTGTGTCCCCGGTGGGTCCCCCCAGTGGCGCATTGGGGGACTTGCCCAGGGGCTCTGAGACCTGATGCAGTCCCGCCCTCATATCCAGGAGCCTGGTGGTTAATACCCTCCCAGTCCAGGTCCCTAGATGTGAGAGACTAATGCCACTCGCTCTTCGGGGATGGGGACCATGAGTGTGAATGGGAGGGTCCTGTGTCCACCCCCCACCTTCTCTTAGGCCATTCCTGCCAGTGTTGCTCTTCTCGCCTCCTGACCGGCCCCTGGTTTCCATCTTGCCTCCAGTCCACTTGCCACATCCCAGCACATCTGACGTGGTGTCTTCTCTTGGGACCCTTGAATGCTGCCTGTAGGGGCACGTGTTGTATCTCCAGCCTCATGACTGGCGTGTATCCCCCCGTGCTCTGTCTCCCCAGACTTCCTGCGGGCTGGGCTCCGTCTCGTTCTCAGACTGAGCACATGCTGCCCCTTCTCTCCGCCCGGCCTGTCTGCTTGACCAGCTCCTTGTCGGGACTCAGCCCCAGGAAGCCTTCCCAGAATGGGAGGGTCATGGGTGCCCTGTGTGTCCTGTCGTACGTGCACTCTGCACACCTTCCCTCATGAGGCAAGGCTCTGCAGGCCGGGAGGCCGTGTCCCGGTGCAGAGTTGACAGTGTGAGGGAGGTCGTCGTTGCGGCTGGGTGGGGGTTGGGAGTCGTGAGCGGAATCCCTGAGATCCTGTTGTTTTCAGGATTTAGTTTTCTCTGAGGTTGCGGACTATTCCAGATCTTTAATCCACGGTTGCTACCGGCTTTTCCCCACTGTGTCAGGGATCCCAAGACCACCCACATGTCAGGGACTCTCTGGGAGAACCTGTGGGCCTCAGGGTATGGTCACCCTCGTGGCTGTGATTAATTAGAGCGAGAGGACGTGGAGAGCGAGAGGACATGGAATGAGGTGGGCAGAGGGACAGGCGCCGGCTTCTGGAGCCCTCTCCTGGGGGTCCCACGGGATTCCCCAACAGTATCGTCCACCAGCAAGGACCGTTAGGGGCTCGGCACCCGGCGTTTTCCTGGGGGGCCGGTCACGAGAGTCCCCAAACCCCAGAGTCCCGGGAGGAAAGCAAAAGCAGGTGTTCTGTGCCAAGCACACTGTTTGCACGGGGCGCCCCTCAACATTTCTGGGAGTGGGGGACCCTCCCCAAATCCACGCTCCCGGACACCAGCCCGGGACCTTTCTGGGGGCCACTGTCTCAGCCCTGCCTTGTCCACGCACTTCTGCACCTCGCCTTCCTCATCACGGGGTCTGGGGGGTGAACGAGGCATCCTCCCTGAGCCCCGTTCAAGGCTTTGGGGGAACGACAGGCTGCTGTCTGCGCGGTGGGAGGCTCTCGTCCGCGTCTCCCAGCTCCTCTGGGATTAACTCCGGGTCGGCTCTGCTGGTCTTCGTGTTCTCCAGCAGCAGGAGCTCCGCGAGGGACAGTGGGCACACACAGTTGGCAGGTGTTCCAACTTGAGTCCGCACTGTCCCGGGACCCGAGGGCGGACGTCCAGCAGAGGGCGGCCTCGCATCACAGATGCAGGACCCTTCAGCGCCTTCCCACCCTGTCTGTCCTGGGAGCTGTCCCGACCTTGAGGTGATGCAGCAGCCCGGCTGTCCCTCCTGGCTGGTCACCGTTTCTGCGGTTGGAAGGCCCGCGGCTTTGGGCGCAGCAGCAAGGGGCTTGCTTTCCCTGGGCCCCAGTTCCCCAGAATTATGCGAAACGGTGCTGTGTGGGATCGTCGATGCAAGCTTGTCCCCACTCTGGTCCCTTTCAGGGGACGACACGTGCTTCCTGTTCTCCATCTCGCCCCGCATGGCCGTGTACACGTCCACGGGTTACAACGACCACTACATGTACCTGAATCACGGGCAGCAGACCATCCCAAACGGACTGGTAAGGACTCGGGGAGCCGGGGCTGTCCCACCTCCATGATGTCCTTCCTTCGGGGGGGCCAGTCCCGACATGCCTGGGCTGACGCTTTCCCCGCGAGCCAGGGGAGCCGCGTGCCTGTGCTTATGGGTGTGGCCTATGGTCACTCCGCTCTGCCTGGGCCTCAGTGCCGCGGCGAGTGACAGCTCGGACGGTTCTCGCCAGTGAGGTCGGGCCCTGCTGGGCATGTCCATGACTTGTGTGCAAAGGGTGGGTTCGGCCAGTTTTCCTGGGGTCACCTGGTTGGGCCATGGCCTTTGTGGCTGGAGGTGAGCTGGAGAGGGGCACACCCAGATCTGCGCTCCTGGGAGCCATCAGGAGCAGTCCGGGGTGACTCATAAAACTGGGGCTCCCGTCGGGGTGAGTGTACCTCCCGTCTGTTCATTCTGCAGCCCGGAGACTCAGCCCTGGGAGGAAGAGGATGAGGGTGCGGGCCAAGGGTGGAGCTGGGATGGGTGTCCCCACACTCTGTACCCCAAAGCAGCTCCCTAGTGCCTGCTTGGTTTGGCTGGGAAATGGGCCTCCTGCCAGCACCACAGCCGATTCCTTTCCTGTGCTGCGTAACCCAAGGCACCTTTTGGGAAAGCCCAGCTCTGTGCTTGTAGAGTGGAGGCCGGAGAAGGCTGGTCCAGCCTGTCTGGGTGGAAAGGGCCCCCGTGCTCTGCTCTTTCCTGGGCTCACCATGAGGCTCCTGGGGGGGCCCCCTGAGGACCCCAAACACCTCCCAGAAAGGACAGTTGGGGGGCCTCTGGAACAGCACCCAGTAGGTCCTCACGAATCGCCAGTAGTCAGCCCAAGGGAGAAGCAGCCCCGTAAGTCTGGCGGCTTCCACTGAGGCAGCTTTGCTCCCCCCACCCCCACCCCCCCCTCCCCAACAGGGCATGGGAGGACAACACAACTACTTCGGGCTGTGGGTCGATGTAGATTTCGGGAAGGGACACAGCAAGGCCAAGCCCAAGTGCACCACCTACAACAGCCCTCAGCTGTCGGCCCAGGAGAACTTCGGCTTTGAGAAGATGGAGGTGTGGGCCGTGGGGGACGCCTCAGGCTCGCAGCAGGTGAGCGGGGGCCGCTGTCCAGCTCTCTCCAAGCTGCCCCTTTCACTGCTCCGTCTGGAGGTCGTTTATCCTCGGTCCCAGCGGCTGCTGCTGGACAGAGAGATGCTCGTGGGCACGCAGCAGGGCCGGGAGTCCCGTCGCGGTCCCTGGGGTTTCGTAGAGTGAACCCTCCTGGAGGCGGGGCCCTGCCCAAGGCTGGAAGCTGGGGGGCTTGTGGCGCGTCTTCAAGGTGAGGGAGGTCCGGGCTTCCTTCTGGTCCTGTGGTTCTGCAGTGAGCCGTCCTCGGGCCCTCTGCGCCCCGTGAGCTCCCAGCGATGGCATCCTGGGGTCAGAGCGCCGGAGCCCCCTCGGTGTTTTCAGGATGCTGATGGTGCTGTCGTGAGCTTACAGTCAGCAGGACGTTCGGGCTCGATGCTGGCTCTCAGGGAGATGTTCACATCCCTTCCTTTCCTCCCAAGGCCAAGAGCAACAAGAGCATCCTGGACGTGGACCCCGAGGCCCAGGCCTTGCTGGAGATCAGTGGGCGGAGCCGCCACAGCGAAGGGCTCCGGGACATCCCGGAGGCTGAATGAGGTTTCCCAGAGCTCGGGCCTTCCTGGGCGCCGGCCCTGGACAGAGGGCGGCCTGCGGGGCCCTCCCCGTCGCACGTGTTCAACACAGGGCCGTGCTGGCCACGCCCAGCTGGTCTGGGACGCGCTGAATCGGACTCAGTAAAATTCCTTCGGTGCCGCATGTGGATTGGTGGGTACGCTTCGCAGGAACCCTGGGTGTCCGTTGGTAGCTTAAGCTTTTTAGTCTGTTTCTCGTCCCTGAAATCCGGAGACATGGACGCTTGAGACCTCCGCCCGAGTTCGCGTCTGCTGGGCACGCGCATTCCGGCCGTGCAGGGCAGGGCTCCGCCTGCCGGGGTCACCTGGCCCCCCGCTCGAGCCACTGCAGTTGAAAACATGCCTCGATGTTCCCTTCCAGCTGGTAGAGGGCGGGGACATTGGGATGTGAGTCTCCGTGTGCCTTTTGGGGGCAGCTTCCTATGACCTAAAATTTGTGTATTTATCAAAAAGCATAAACAGCGAGAGAGCAGGTGTCCCCACAGGTGTTTGTAATAGGGTCCCCTCTCCCCCCACCTTTCTCAGCTGCTTTTAAATGAATCTGTGCCACAGTCTACACGGGTTCCAGGCAGTTCCATTGCTAACTTAAATGGGAATTCGGAAGCTCTGAGAGGTCCTCTGGCATGAATTAGTGGTGAGTAACGACCCTACTGGCCTGGGTTCCTGACCACCGCCTCAGTGTCACTGTCCAGCCCAGTGGCCCCCAAAGGGGTGATGGGTCATCTGACAGCAGGGACTCACTTGAAATGGACTTGAGTGATCCCGGCGAGCTGACCATGACCCTGGGTGAGGGTCTGAGGCCGGGCCAGGGAATCGAAGCCTGCCTCGAGAAGTCCCTCCTTCCTGGACGGAGCTGTGGGCTCGGCTCTGAGACCTACACCTGGTTCTTGGGTCTTTCGCTGTCAACTTGAACTTTCTGGAGATGGGACGGATATGGGGCCTTTCACTCTAGAACCTGCCTGCTTAGAAGCCACGGTAAGCCAAGCTGTTCGCATCTGGCAGGTGTGGCCTTTTCTCCCGGGGGGCTCCCCAAACTTTGCCCTTAGCAGTGCCCCCGACTGAGCAGAAGGCCTTGCAAATGAGCTTTTAAAAGAAAAATGCGTGTCCAGACTACGCAGAGGGGCGGCGGCCTGACCTGGACATAGTCGTGATCGATTTTCCTCCTGAAAGGCCAGTTTTTCATAAGCTGCTCAGGTACATTGTGGGGTCTCCCCAGCCGGTGGGGTAGTAGATCGGGGCGGGGAGGCTCCTCGGATATCCTGACCATAAAACCAAAGAGTTAGGTCGGTCCTGCTCCTTCCATCTGTTCTGGAATTTCTTTTGATAAAAAAGCAACTGAGTACCTCACTAATAACAGGTGTGTTGGTGTTTGTACCTCGAGCCCCGTCGTCTGGCTGTCAGGCTTGGATTTTGTTGGTGGACGCCCTGTGCTTTGGGTCTCTTGTCATCAGAGGGCAAGTGACAAGTGGGGACCCGTTCACCAGGAGGGCACGCTTACACAGGGCAAGGCAGGGTCCCAGCCCAGGCGCTCGGCCCCCTGGGGGTGCGGCCCTGCCAGTGGGCCTGTCTCACTGGGAGGATCTCCGCACACAAACCTGTTGAGGGTGTCGCCGCAGCGAGGACCACCGGACCTGGGAAACCCCAGGCCTGGGACACACACGGAGCTGGTCTTACCAGCTTACAGGGTTTTTCCATGCAACAGAAATAAGGATTCGGGACCAGTTTCTCCGTAAGTGAAGACCAGTCAGGGCCGCAGAAGGTGCTGGATGGAAGAGGTAAAAGGATGGGGGTCCATGGTGTCAACATGGCTTCCGTGACCGGGAAGCCTCCGTGGCCGGGACCGTGGCTCTGCGGCCGGTCGTGGCTATCGCGCCTCTCCTGGAGTGTGTCTAGATGTGATTTTAGTCGGGACGAATGAACTATTAGGAGTTGAATTGTTGAATCAATGCTGACCGACGAGCAAACCTCTCGAGTTCAGTTTATGCTCCGGACGCCCCTCCGTGCCTGTAGGCCGTGTGTACCGACACCGTGTTAGGACGGTTTTCGTGGGCCTGGCGTTTCCTCTGAGTGACCGTGTGGCTTCAGCTTTCAAACGCCACCTGGGTCCTGCCCTCCACCTGCTTCTCTGGGACGCGGGTTTTCTTTGGACCGATTTGCGAGAGTGCCTTTTCAAAGGAAGCATTTGTTCGCTGAGTACTTTTTCCAGTTTGTTTGGCTTTATTTTTGTATGTGCGAATGACGCATTTGTCCCCCTGTTTACCAGCATTTCCTTGTAAGGCTTGAGATTTGTAGTTTGCTTAGAAAGCTTTTTTCCCCCACTCTGGGATTTAAAAAAAAAAAAAAATCATGTTTTGTTCTGCTTCTCTGCTCTTCTCTCCTCCTAAATTTTTGACCCATTCAAGATGTAATTTAAATGTACCTCTGTCTTGCCCCCAAATGAATTCTAGTATCTTTTATATTTAATGGTATGTTTCTTTCCCACTGACTTAAAGTACTACTTTCTCGGGGCACCTGCGTGGCTCAGTGGGTTAAGCCTCTGCCTCTCGATTCTGGCTCAGGTCATGATCTCAGGGTCGTGAGATCAAGCCCCATGTCAGGCTCTTCACTGGGCGTGGACTCTGTTTGGGCTTCTCTCTCCTTCCCCCTCTGCCCCTTCCCCGCCCCCTACCCAAAGTAGGAGAAGGGAGGAAGGGGAGGGAGAGGAGGACCACTTTCTCATCCCCTGCATTTCTCTACGAACTCTGGTCTCTGCTTCATGCTTTAAGAACTGGAGTTTGATGATAAAAAGAAGAGCTGTTCCCCGCTGACTTCTCTGTTTTGGAAATTTCCTTCCTGTGCCTGCCTGTTTGCTTTCTCTGACCTTAGATAACCGTTCTAAAAAGGCTGCGTTTCGGAGATGGCGCTCCATGGGGATCAGTGTAGGCAGAGCTGACACCTGGCACAAGTGGCTTCCTCCTGCCCCAAGGACAAAACATCTAAGTTTGCCGCCTAGATTTCGTTGTTGGTGCTGGCTTTGTCTGTGGACTTTTACCCCTGATGATTGATTGAACACAGGAAGGTTTTTAAATTTCTCTGCCTAGTTTTGTACCCAGCTACCTTGCTGAATTTTTTGGTCTGGGGGTTTTCAACCTGGGGTCTGCATCAGAATGTTCTAGAAGGTGTGCTAAAGGGCAAGGTGGTAGGGCTCCCTCCGACCCCAGCTGAGTTTCTGACTCGGTAGGGCTGGGGAGGGAGCGGAGAGTGGACATTTCTGATGACTCCCCAGGCTGGTTTTTGGCTCCCGAGATCCCTTCTTTTTCCCTCCAGCCTTCCTGACTTGTATACAATTAGTGAACCCACTTACTATGATTGTGTGGACCTGAAAATGAGGATAGTTTCCCTACTCTTGGAATTTCTAGATCTTTTCTTTCTCTGAGTTGACCAAATCAGCAAATACCTTCAGAATTTCAGTAGCGATGATGCCCCTTCCCACTCCTGACTTTAATGCAGATGCGTCTGGTTTCTTACCATGAAGCAGATGCTGGCTTTGCAGATAGATTTTTGTGTTAAGATTCCTTTATTTGTATTTATGTTAAGAGTTTTATCCAGATGATGAATTTTTTTTTTTTTTAAGATTTTACTTATTTATTTGACAGAGATCACAAGGAGGCAGAGAGGCAGGCAGAGAGAGAGGAGGAAGCAGGCTCCCCGCTGAGCAGAGAGCCGCTCGCAGGCCTCGATCCCAGGACCCTGAGGTCATGACGTGAGCTGAAGGCAGAGGCTTTAACTCACTGAGCCACCCAGGCGCCCTT